TTTTTCTAAATAATTATTATTAATTATTAGTTCATTAAGTTATACTCCGATCCCTCGCTTACTGGGAATTCATGAGAAAGTATGAAAATTGCAGGTTCGAGTAAAAATGGGCACTTGTCATCAAGGGTCGCATTTTATCACCGATTGATGCTAACAAATTTTCTCTTTTGTTCTTCATTCTTTTTTCCTTTTTTTTTTTATTTTTTACAAAAAATATAATATAACTGTATTTAATTGAATGTACAAAGAAACAATATAATTATTTTATTGAAGAAAAAAAAAAATAGGTAAAGCGCAAACTATTTACGTTAGTAGCCGGTATGACCTCAACGGAAAAGTAACTGTTTGCTCGTCGCCCCCCCCCCCTTCTCCCTAATAAAAAATACAAAAAAAAATACGAGACGAGCAAAGGTGTTCTGGCCGCAGTCTATTCTTTTTCGCTTGTGCGTCCGGTGTCTATTTTGCATTTGTCTTTTTGCGCGTCAAAAGAAGCGCCTCGTGCTTATGATTACGCTTTGTGTGAATAAGTGATAATTTATATAAAACATAACTATAGATGACTATTAAAAAAAAAAATGATTTTTTTTCTCTCGAGTGTGACGATAATAATCATTATCACATTATTATTACTATTATCATTATTATTCTTATTATTATCATTATTACTATTATTCTTATATTGTTAACGTTTTAGTTGATTTTACGCGCCATGTTGCTTTGGCCCCTTATTTTTCTTATTTGAAAATTTTTCATGTGACAAAAAAAAAACTTTAATAATCGTATGTACAAAATTTTTTTAATTATAAAAATTGAGTTATAATTAAGTAATATACATATATTACATGACTTAGTGGTCAGTCTATGACTGCTCATGCGAAATTTATATTTGGTGTAGAAGAATCAAATATTACAATATCACATTGTAAGTGTAAAAGCATATTTGTTGTGTATATAACTTTTGAGCTTCAACCCTATATTACATATAAAGAGGGAATAAAAATAATGTAGCAATTCAAAAGGCTAAACAAAAAGTGTTGGCGAGCGAATAAGTATACCTATATCATGAATACTATATATGTAAAAATACACGGAAAAAAAACAAGCGGTTTTAGCACTGGCACCTAATTCGATAGCACGGGAAAAGTCTCGCGTGATTTTTATAATTCAAAGACGACTGTCTCGATCAAAAGCCATGAGATCTTACGGAAACAAGTTTAAATTCTAATCTAATTTTTGCCATACACAATTTTAATTTTACTGCTCAGTTTACATTATATTTATGTGATTTATTTCTCATACCATTATTGCATTTTTTTTCACATCATACCAAAACAGCACCAACCAAATATATAAAAACCATAATGAAATCAGTTACAGTTATCAAGATATTTTAAAAATTATTATATGAATATATAATAATTACGAATTTGCTTGTTCATCAATTGATCAACTCTTCTCACAGCACAGATTTTATACAACCACTTGGTTTTCGTGATTTGAATTGTTTTCTAGTCTGTTGACTTGTCCTTCTGTTACTTTTGAAAATTTTTTTTTTTTTTTTTTTAACAACCGCACATACAACAAACGCTTAATATGTATGCTAATTATGGTGAAACTAGGTGCTAAAATAGTGCAGTGAAACATGTAGAACTCAACCTAGCTGAGTTGAAACGCTTTGTGCGTGAACTTCACTCTGTAGCTCTATGCTAGAGAAGTTGTAATATTTCATAAAAGTATGATAAATCACGCTTATTTTTTTCCGTGTACACATGTACGTAAAATAAGCAAATAAAAATTCATTCAGTGAATAAACCGCGCGAGAAAGAGAATGCGTGTAGTTTTTGTTTTTCGTGAGTGTACGTTTCATTCATTCAAAGATAAAAGACAAGTTGAAATACGCTGAATAATAAAGACAACAAGTTGAAAAATAATAATATAATGCAAGAAAGCAAAAAATATGAAAATGAGAGACTGAAGCATTGAACGAAAGTTGAAAAAANTATGAACAATTTTTGAAATCAAATATATAAATCTATTATAACGTTTTTTTTTTTTATTAGAAAAATAAGTTGTATAGTTCCTTTGTCTCTATATTGAAATTATCTTATATCAATAAACTAATGTATTATTTAATTTGCCGATGTTATTATTGTAACCCCTACATCCTAATCCTTTCCAACTGTTATAATAATCGCGGAAGAATAAAAAAAAAAATTACTTGAAAAAACAAATCATGAAATTCTTGTTGTTGTCAACGTCTTACGTTGTAAAAATTGTTTTTCTTTTGAGATATTATTCATGTTGTATAAAAGTATATTATATAATATTGTGACACACTCTTTTGGATTTTTATCGTATAAATTTTTTAATCACAAAACTCTTGTTACCCCGAATGTCACAATAACCCCTAAAGTCGTATTTTATGAAAAGCCTCAAATATCCCGTCTGATAATGGTAGTAATACCGTCATTCGATGATAAGATAGCCCACAATTTTCGAAAGAGTATTTTTAGACCAATGTGAGCTTGTTGGTTCAGATTATTCGTGTGGATTAAACTTGATGCTTCCTCGAAATGAAAAATTAAAAAAACCCATCAAAAATTCGTTGACAAAATTCCACACAACTACAACACGAACAATGTGCATAAAAAAATGAAATAATGCAAAAATGCGCGGACAACAATTACTGTTCTATATTAAAGTCTTTTACCTCAATGTCGATCACTCACTTTTTCGGAAGAACAATGCTAGACCGTACAACTGAATGCATGCCCGTTTATCTAAAGACGCGTTAAAAAATAATCTCTGGTAACGACGCTCCGAGTCCGTTTTTTCAACTTTCACGTGAGATCACATAAATTAAAATATTGAATGTTTGTCAGTAGAAAAAAAAACCGCTGTAAACGTTTTAATTGTTATGGAGCAGCTCACGTTTTTAATTGACGTTTCAAACAACGAAACTTGAATTTTTATGGTTTGGAAAAAATTTTACCGACCGTGAGAAGGAATGGCGCGATAAAAATGCCACTGAAATTTCTAAAAAGGAAGTAGTCCTTCCGTTTGTTGATTGATAAAAACGCAGATTACGAGTTCTTTCTTCTACCAAACCATTTTTTTTTTTTTTTTTTTTTTTTTTTTTTCGGTCATAGTTCCTGCGGTAGGGCCAAAAATGTCTCGGTGCTCCACATGAAGACCTTCGTGGACGTATACAGTTGCAGTATAGCGATGCATTTGAACAGCCAAGCTTGAAGTAAAGCCTCCTCAACTACGAAACGACATTGTTGTAAGTAACATATTTGTGGAGAAAAAGCAGTACCAAGCGACACAAGACCGGAGGTGCCTTATGGATAGTCAAACTCAAGCTATGTTAAAATTAATTTTCATGGCATAAGGTTAATCGTCAACCAATGTAACAACGTCTGCCCGAGTAAAGCGCCCGCGATCCTATAACGTTACGCAACCGAATTGATGGCTTCTCTGCTTTGATGTGTGGGTAAAAGTATATAACAACAGCAGACAGTGCACTTTACAATCGCACAAGCGCGTCTATTCACGTTTCTCTCTCGGCAGACGGCGACCGGTGATCAACTGCTATCTCGGCCGTTTGTTCCGCAACGCAACAGACGAAAAAACTTATCGGCGTTGTACTTCGACCCGTCATCCTTACATACATATATCTGCGCGCGTATGAGTTCCGCTTCTTAATCAATCATTTTTTTTCTTTTTTTTTTTTTTTCATTATTATTTGTGAACTTATATCGCATTAAACCGTGTTAATTATAACGAAGTTGGAAAATTTTTGCAGAAATTTAATTGCTGTCTCTGCGTGAAAGACAAAAATTGCGAGTTCATATGCAAAGTAACTTACACGTATCGACAACTCGAGGGAAGATTCGATCTTAAAATTAATAGGAAAAAAGAATAATTTTGTGGATAACAGTTTTTCATCGTGATAACAATACACAACAGTGGTGATAACGGGCTTTTCTAACAATTTTGAGTACAAGATAAGTGCGTGTTATTAATAAATGCCAAGAATGACCGAATGAACGAAATTCGTAATCGCAATTGGCGTTGCGAAAATTTTTATTTATGAATAACATGAGTAGCAGAGGGCAAGAGTATATACGCGAGTCGATAAGATATATATGTTATGTGCGCGGCTCGTCATAACATAGCTGATGATAAAATTTTGGCACTTGCGATTATTACGGCACGTGTGGCGCTTGTGGGCCATTGTATGTGTTACGCAACGCGATTATTTTTCACGCGGCTGTTTCATGTGCGACGAACAAAATAAATAAACGAAGATGGTGTATTTAATAAGGCGTTGGCGTCGAGGATTTTTCTTGATAATCACGTTTCCACGAAGTACATAAAAAAAAGCCAACACTTCAAAGTCATAACAATTGTAACAACTTAGTTATCGCGTGTAAGATAGTAGGGCTGCGCAGATGGAAAATTCGCGAGCGATAAGGAAAATAGGACTCTTGCTGTACAGCTAAATATACTATCTTTAAATCCCTCGAAGATTTTTCTAAAATTATTGAAATCAACAAACGGCTTTTTACCAATTGGTACAAGAGTAATCTACAATTACAAAGATAACGGCGTCAACGACGATGTTATAATTTCACACTCGAACGTGTTCATTAATTTTATTAATTCTATCGGTATTTTTGTTATTCAACAGTTAAGCTGCTTGCGAATTACACACAACAAAAATCAAACGCCTTAACGATTGATGATTCCCAATACTTTCTTAGTGAAAGTTTGGACGGGAATTGCGTGTCTTCGTTTGACGAGTCCGTTTCAAAATTCAAACCGTCAGGGGAAACGCGCGCCTATCGTCCGAACGCAGCGCCTGCGCGCAAGTCGCAGCAGACAGAACGGCAAACGTATATCAATACACAAGAGTGGCGATGTGCAGCTGCAGCAGTGAAACGAAAGCAGGCGCATTAATTAATTGTTGGTCGTTTGTTTATTTACTCGGTGGAAGTCTCGAGAGTAATCGCCCGTGTGATAGATGTTCGCTTCGTCCCAGCCAGTGTTTGTCTAACCCCCGAATGTTATCGTTTCGTGCCCGTGAAGGCCAAACAAAAGTGTACACACGGTAGTGGGCGCGTGTTCTGGCTGCTCCTGTTTGCGAGGATGTCGTGCCGAGTGCCCGTCCTGGTGATCCTGGGCGCAACGGGCAGCGGAAAATCGAAGCTGGGCATCGAGCTGGCCCGCCGCTTCAGCGGGGAAATCATCTCCGCCGACAGTATGCAGGTGAGAGAGTTGGGGCTAACGCCCGTTCGCGTTGAGGTTAACTGCGCAGTCGGGGTGTGTGTGTGTGTGTGTGTTGTGTAGCAGAAGCAACCGACCGAGAGAGCACGCGGACCCTATATATTTTCGTGCGATGGTGTTTATGTTATTTCGAGGAGGAAGGAGGGATAATCCGCGTGTGATTACATTGATTCGTTCGCCCTTATCGCTCGAAACTGTCCCGGGCGGATCCAAAGTATTGATTTCCCATTGAAATGTACACATATAGAGGTTATGCCTGTATCGGTGGTCGCGGAGTGCTCTATGATAATAAACAGCTCCAAATGGCAAGGGCGAAAAAAATCAATCGAGTACACACGCATACCGAGTGCATTAACTGTCGATACTAGGATTCCTGTGGCGCCAATAACTCGAAAAAATAAAATTACTTTGCGACGCCCCAGAAGTCGTATATTCTCATTATTTTCAGGCAACCAGTGCATTTTGTTGATGATAACAATAATAATAATATACTTGCTGCTCAGAGAGATCAATGATACGTAAACCGTGGCCTGAGCACAATAATTTCTTATAATGTAGGCCGTGTACTTACATGCTTTTTATATTATTCCAACAACAGAGACATTGCAAACAATTTTGGTGCACAATGTTTATGCTTGGCTTTAAAGCAAGATCAACTGGGCCTTTTGTTTATTTATTATTGTTTGCTAATGCCTGCGATACAAATATGACTGAATACGAGAGAAAATTTCAATGTTTGTTCAGTTCATGTAATCGTTATCATCGTTGCTAAGTGGTGTTAATGTTGATATAAGCACTAGATATCAATGTCTTAGAAGTAGAATACGTCTATCTTGTTTTAAAAACCATCATTATTTCAGAGCTTCAATTGCAGGTAATGTAAAAAGTTGAGCATGGCCCAAGTATGTGTATATGTATGTGTAGTCGATAAAGTATAGAATTTTATTACATTCTTTTCAGACTCGTACGTTTCAAATTCGATGTGAAATCTAGATGTTTGTATTGGTTGATGAATATTAATCGGGGAGCTCTGTTCGAATATGCATGTGGTTGTCTAAGGCTGGTACCTTACGATCTCGGTGCCTCGTTCTACTTTACAGTAGCGATCGCATAAAATAAGTTCCTTTGTATACATATACTTGCGAGCAGAGTCTCTTTTTGATTATTTGTGTGAAACTCCTTTCAAATTGGTTAAGGGCATTTTATGCATCAGTTCCACGGAACACCCGAAATTTTAAACTACATCTGGGAGCTTTGTTGGAAGTAGACATAATAATAATGGCAAGACTTCACGTCTGATCGTACAGTAAGTGAAACGAATAATTGAAATCGTGAAAAGTTCGAGAGGCAAAACAAATGCATGCAGACACAGCCGTACAGTTTCCCCATGGAAAAGCACACTCGCTCGGTTCCTGTAGAAAATAATGTATATACTTCGTGTGTGATGTGTGTACAGGCGATAACGCGCTCGCTGCATGTATATTTATACAAATACGCATACAGTTGCGACATAAATTTTAGAGAGCGAGCACACAGCGCTCCAAAGACGGGGGTAAAATGTGGCAGCTGCGAGACGATGACCCTAATTATACATGGACGTCTCGCGCGCGCAAGCATTACCTAAGCCCCCACCCCCCTTTGGATCCTCTTTCTTACAACTATATAAACTACATCGCGAGCACTAAAAAAAAAAGGTGGGGGGGTGGGGGAGGCCACACATTTTGGGCTACGAAATCTCTGCCGGAGAAAGTATATACGGAATATATGGTCGTCGAGAAGAGCAGGATCACGCGAGGGCGTACCTCGACAGCCATAGGCGCGCGAGATATCTTATCATCGGTGTCGCGGTTCACGAAAATCAACCTCTGGTCGTGAATCTGTCGCACCGTTGTGTAGCAAAGAGACAACGAAAGAAAAAAAAAAAAAAAAAAAAGTCCAATGATAAACAAGCCGAGGAGAGAAAAAAGAAATAGAACAGTACCACCGCGCGTTCGTGTGCTCTAGCCCGTATACAAATATGACGAACGGAGAAAAAAAAAAAAAATCGGCCTAATCTTATCGCACGCGCGCAATAGATAGTAGTACGGGCCTGGGGGTGATCTTCTGGACGATGAACTGTTGTCCTTCGCGAGCTCTCTTTTTTCGATTGAAAGTGGTGGCTTCCTTGTACAAAAAACGCAGAACGTTTTGTTACTCTTCCACCGAAAATCCACGTGTTTTTTTTTTGTTTTATTTTTTTTTTTTTCTTATTAATAATTCAAGGTGTGCTCAGATTTTTTAATGTATAAAAATCAATGAAAGGGAAATACTTTTAGTGCCAAATAATATTTTCCCACTTCGTCTCGTCCGTAGTTTCGTGTATTCTCTTACTTCATGAAGCGGAGGTAAAGAAAGAAATTGCGAGTAGTGATCATTTCTGATTATATACATTTATATAGTACACATATATATATACGTATATACATACACAGAATACATGTAAGGTTTTTTACCACTTTTTAAAGATACTCTGCCAGTTTCCGGTTTTAATCCGCGCTTGCGCTTTTAAGTGCCGTTTTATGTGCGATTTTTTTTTTATAGTATAGCGATAAAAATTTAAAAATGCGCACGACAGGTGATGATGAAAAAGTGCGAGACGAAAGGAAAGAGAAAAAGGACCAACGAAGGATTGGTCCTTATTCGAAAATTTTAGCCCGAGCGATGACGGATGGAGTGGCGTAAGTTGTATAGGAGAACGTTTGGAAACGTTGAGTCAGGGAATGGGGTAAAAAGAGAAAGAAAAAGAGGAGACGAGAGTTTATAACGCGAGTTCAGTGATAGGTGAATTTTTAAGGAGTTAGGATAGGAAAAAATAAATAAATAAAAAAAGTCGCCTCTACTTCGAGAGTGCAAAGAGTACCTGCTAATTAAACGTAATCTGTAAGATTTAATTAAGTGACATGTAACAATGCAAAACCAAGGGGCACCGAGAAAAAGATATGTTAAAACGAGTATGTGAGCAAGTAAATAGTAAGGGAACGGAAATAAAAATTATATATTTCACTATAGATGTTCTTTTTGTACGCGATATGATTGTATCACATTATTGCCCTTTAAATATTTTTCTCTCCGTGCTTAAAATATTTTAGTACGTTGATAATAGATAGGTAGGTAATAAAAAAATTATGTAATGTAAGAACTCGGTTATTATAGCGCTTTTTTGTTTTTACGCCATTCACTTACGTGCTTCCCTTTTTCGTTGATACGTTTGTACACGTAAGCACCTAGAGAGTAGTTAGTATTTTTTTTTTTTTTTTTTTCTTGCAAATAAAATTTTTTTTCCGAGATTGATCCGTGAGAAGCAAAAATGATACCGTGTTTTTTTCTAGTTCAACCATAATTGCATTTTCCGTTCGCGTAAAAGATTTAATGCATACGCAGCATGTTTTGCTCATTGCCAAAGCTTTACGCTGCCTTTCCCTTAAATTTCACGTTTTTATTTTTTCTATTTTTTTTCTCGTGAAATAAAATACATTGGCTGGAATATTTCCCGTTAAAATTTTTAAGTACAGCGATGCAAAAAATGTATCTACTGCATACTAACTACCACGTGATAAACTAAAAGGAATAAAATTTACAATAGCAGTTTTTGAAAATAGGAACTACTCCATGGGGAGAAGATGTGAAACTAAGATTTTACTATTTTGTTCCGAATTTCTTAAGACTGCAAGTTGTGAAAATGACAGTGCAGTTTGTAAATAATATTGTGTACTTTACATACAATCACCTAAAATAAAAGAAACAAATTAAGGAAGTCGATACTTGTAACACCTCGCACATGTACATATATTTAGATTAGCCTGGTAGTTTTTGATTTTTCAAGAAAGACTGGCGTGAAACGAAAAGACATGATGAAAAAAAAAATTGAGATACACAACAATTGTTTGCTGAATTTTGATACACGCATAACTTTGTTATACATATTAAATACGCTTGGAGATCAAGTGCAATCACTTAACTAAAGCATTTCCTTGACTGATTTTAATCGAGAAAAAAAATAGAAAAGTAAAAAAATTAATATTGACTTCCTTAAGTGTTAATAAATAAAACGAGAAGTAGACCTGTACTCATTAAACGGGACGCGAATTTAGAATTGCATGAATTAGGTAAAACGAATTAAGAAAGTTAAAGGTAAGAAGAAGCGTAGATGAGGGAAAAAAAAATTTACACAAAGATAGAGTTTTGTGTATCAAGAGTGGAATAATATTTTTATTTATCATTTTATTTTTATACGTTGAAATTTAAGTACGATGAAGAAATTGTTGAGAAAAAATAAAGATTAGAAAAATCGTTGACGGTTGGCGTAAGATTATAAAATATACATACAGTCATTTAACATAAACATATTAAAATAGGCAAATAAACTTGAAGCAGATTATTATGTTCGATACCAAATAGAATCTCGTTATTTTTTCAACGAAAATAGGTTACATAATCGCCTTTTTTTACCACAAAACGACCTAACGCGCATAATAATTGAAAGAAAAAAAAAACGCATTTTGCCCAATAGTAGTTAATATGTAAGTTTGAAAACGACTATAAAAAAAGACTTTTATTCTTTGAAATAACCGAAAATACAACCGTGAAGTTGACGTAACGTATCATTAGGAGCACATACAACATTCGTATGTTGTATGATTACGCGAATTTTTTTTACAAAATGGATCGAGTATAAGAAAAACATGAACATGATGGGCGAATGAGTATTTGCATGGCGTGCAAGAATCAACGTAATGTTGTGTTTGCTGATCGTGTGAAAGTATACGAAAAGAAATAGTAGAAACAAATTAATGAGACGAACACGAAAAATTGAGAAAAACGTAAAAAAAAAAAAAAAAGAAAAAGAAATTAAACGATGTAATAAAATTTTTTGCTAATTGCTAAACACTCACGCTAAAACAGAAGCGAAATGTATTTTTTATTGTACTTAAGCTTAACCGTTG